TACATATATTTTTTAAAAAAAATCAACATAACAACAACAACAATAATAATAACAAATGCACGTCAATTTTTTTTTAAAAAAAAAAAACACTAACCGCTGTTGTTTTGAAAATATTAGGTGGTTCAGCCTAGGGTGGTAGAAATTGTTAGGAGAGTTGCCTGGAAATGGGTAAAACAAAAAAAAATAACGCACCGAGTCCGTAACGTATGCTCCAGCGAGCCATGCCACTAACGAGCATAGTGTGGTGTCTCCGGCCCCTCATCACCGTCCATTAGATCCAACAAACTTGATTTTGTAAAATTGAAATTGTTTGGTTGATTATGAATATTTTTGTTCTTGGTGGTTGAGTGGAGATTGTTGTTACCGAACCAATAGTTCATTCTAAAATATTGTGAAAAGTGAAAATGGTAAGTTGAGGTAAATTTAGTTAGTTTTAAAACAAGGATATGAATGTCTTCATATGTTAATTTGCAGGCGTTACCTGGAGATTCGAGGGCGACGTTTAGTGTTTACTTATTTTTATAAGTTTTTTTTTGTTTTTAAAAAACTAATTATAATGATTATTGAAAATTACCATAAATGGCACAAGAACTAACTAACCTAGTAAAATTAAAATTTAAAGTATATAATTAAAGTATATATCCAGGATCTTAACTCGTGTAACTCAAGTTCATCATAAACATATATACTACCTCCGGTTCAAGTTACTTGCAACAATTTTTTCCTTATTTAGTAAATTTTACCCTGCAAAATGACTATTTTACCCTTACTTTTTTAACACCTTATTAATACTCCTAATCTAATTTCATTATGTTTAAGATCATATTACTTATCCTAACCATTCCCATCAAAATTAACCCCAACCTTTAAATTCCTCCATCTCCTAACCACCTTCATCGAATGCATCTGCATTCAATTCATCTTGAAGATGGTTGAGTGCATTTAATTTTGGAATTTTTTTTTTCAGAAAATCCACTCCCCAAACCCTAGTTCTTCATATACCCCAACTTCTCTCTCTCCAAAAGGCTCTCTTTCTCTCTCTTCCGTTTCTGGTTTTTCTCCTTTCTTTCTCTTCAATTTCTAGGTTTTCTCTTTTCTTTGACTATTCCTCTCTCTCACCATGGCTTCATCTAACGAAGAAAGCCCAGATCTCCAGTGCTACAAGTCCCTTCCTTCTGCTACATAACTATCCGATATAAAATTTTAAGTCTTTATCTTTTAAAAAAAAGGATAAATTAGAACCTTTTAGAAGATTCAAAGAGCTAATGATCAACCTTTATGGATTTAGGGTTCAAAACAACCTTCTAGAAGATTCTAGAAGTTTACAATAAATCCTAATGGGTTTAGGAATAATGTTAAGGTTAATGGGCCCTCCACATGATCATTGGGCTGAAGGTAAGGCTCGGTTTGGGCTTAATTCAGTATTTTGGCATAACGTCTTAACCCGGATTTGGGCTTATAATATTTCGTTGGAAAGCTCTTTTTAAGCTCCATCCAACTACAAAATCATTGAACCCAGATTATGGAACAAAATAAATTATATTGGACGACTTTATAAAAAGGACACGAAATGGATGATTTTGGTTTAAAACATTTAAGGAAACGTTAGAAATGTTCAAGGCCAAAGGGAAATTCACGAGACTCTTCAACTCTTCACCTAACTCGATAATCAAAGACGTGACAAGGTTTCATCACTGAGTTTGGTTTTTTGGGAGACACAATCAGGTGTCTACACCAACCGATTTCGCCCTATTTATGGAAGATGATGTTCAAAGGTAGTTTTATTGGGGGATTATCAAAATATGGTTTTATTTATGGTAGATCGAGCAAAGATTATAATATTCAAGTCATTTTTTCCTAAAATTAATGATATTTTCCCTTATTTATAGTTATAATTATGTGGTATTTTTGTATAGGAGTAAAATTCTATTGTTAATATATACTCATATTAATTATAATTATGTAGATAGATTAGATATTCAAGATAGATGTTAATACTTTATCTAAATATATTCTATCATTTAAAAAGAGAAATTTAAATTTAAAAAAAAAAGATTAAAAGTCTATCGAAATTAAAAATAAAGATTACTTTTTATACTAAATATATCTATTTAATAATCCTTACATGACATCTTATGTGGCATGTTTATGTATAGTTATTGCTTACATGTCGCGACACTTGGAAAAAAAATAGAAGTGGCAAGTGTCGTTATCTCGTGTCCCAGCTGCGATACCGGCTTTATATATTAGTGATATAAGTAGTATTGTGCCAGGGCGTTGACTAGATGGTGGGATATCTTAAGATAATATTTTAACTAGAATACTAAATACGGTCAAATAATTTGTTCCGATAATGTAGGATATTTAGACATACGATATCATATGTCTTATATTTATATACTAACACTTTGTAATTTTGTTTGTAATTAGATATCTATGTATTATCCACTTTAAATTTTTTAAACTGGACTGAAAGTATTTTTACCAAACTGAAATTAATTTTTTACTAATTAAAACTTATTTTTACTGATTTTCTAATATTTTTTAAATAAATTAAATAACAATGCATTTTGTATGTGGCAGGCCACACCATCTAGCCGGATAAAGTAACCCATATACAACTAACCGAGTAACTCCCATAAAACTGATCGAGTAACTCTTGTAATATTAACTGAGTAACCTCTAACACTAACTAAGTAACCCTATCTATAACACTGATTGAGTAACCACTAAAACACTGACCAAGTAACCCTTATAGCACTAACGAAGTAACTCTTGTAATAATTGGCGATGACAATATATTATAAATAGATCATATTTTAAAGAACTTTTTAAAATGAATTTGATGGTGGAAATAGAATTGAGTTATAGGATATTTATTAAAAGTTATGATTAATTTTGTATATATGAAATGTTAGAATTCTATCGATAATAAAATTAAATTCTATACAACAATTATATCTTAAATATCCAAAATTCGCTTACTTAGCATCTTAAATGTGTCACGATAGTAATATCTATTAATCTCTTATGTGGCTCGACACTTAGCGAAAACTTGGAATGCCAAGTGTTGTTGTCGTTTTGTGCTCGGGCGTTGCCCAAATGGTTGATAAAATTTTAAGATAACCTTTTTACTTGAATGTTAAATCCAGTCAAAAACTCATTCTGATCGATAATATAGAATCTTTAGACATACGATATCATATGATTTATATTTATATAATAGTGTACTTTTTATAGTTTTGTTTGTAAACAGATATATATCTATGTTATTATTGACTTTTTATTGAACTTAAATTATTTTTACTGAACTGAAAGTATTTTTACCAAAATAAAATTATTTTTACTGATTAAAACTTATTTTTACTAATTCCTAATATTTTTTTTAAAATAAATTAAATAACAATGCATTTTTTATGTGTCTAGCCACATCATCTAGTCGGACAAAGTAACCCCTATAAAACTGACCGACTTACCTATGTAATACTAAACAAGTAACCTCTAACACTGACTAAGTAATTCTTATCTATATCACTGATTGAGTAACCAGTATAACACTGACCAAATAACCCTTATAGCACCAACAAAGTAGCTCTTGTAATAGTTGGTAATATGGGTTGGCCAGCTATGTACAAAGGTTTGTGAGTAGATATATCATAAATGGATTTTATTTTAAATTAAAGAACTTTTTCAAACGAATTTAATGATGGAATAAATAGAATTGAGTTATAGGATATATATTATAAGTTATGATTAATTTTGTATATATAAAATATTAGAACTCTACCAAAAGAAAACTCTATACAAAAATTTTATCTTAAAAAATCTATCCAAATTAAAATCGCTTACATAGCATCACATGTGTCACGATAATACATATTTATCTTCTACATGGCGCGACACTTGAAAAAAAAAACTGGAATGCCAAGTGTCGTTGTCTCGTGGCCTGACTGCAAGACCAACTTGAATTTATTTACTTGTATATACCCGGGTGTTTCCTCAAATTTTCGATTTTTATTATTATTTTTAGGAAATTTTGTCAGAAAAAACCGTTTATAACAACTTTTTGTGGGAAAAACCTTATAAAAATTTTTTGGCAAGGAGAAACCAGATTGTAAAATATTTTTGTTGAAGACAACCTAAAATCTCTTATCACTCATTTAACCTCTAATTTTTCATTAGTTCTTCTAATTACCCTTAATTCTCACTTAACTACTTAATAATTAAGTTAATTAATAAATTAAAAAAAATAAAAACAAAAACCACCCTCACCACCACTAGCCGACCACCCTCTCCTTTTCCCCCTCCTGTGGCAGCAAACCCCTTTCCCAGCCGCCGCCAAAAAGCCTCACTCCCGCCAACCAACCTCCACCGCCGAACCGACCCCTTCCCTTTCCCCTTTACCCACACTACAACCACCATCTTAAACCCTAAGATTGGAGCAAAGCTAGTCAAGAATAAGTCGAGTATCATCATATTGAAAAAGGCCATTCAAAACTATCTGGGTCCAATTTCTAGTAACCTTCAAACCCTAGCTCCCCTAACAACCCACACAATCTTACTTCATCCATTACTACTTTTTGTAAATTTCTGGAAAAATTGAAGAAATTACTCCAATTCGGAACTAATCAAATCCTGAAAATGTAATTATCCAATGATTTTTGTTCGTTATGATCGATTAAATAATAGAGGATCAATTGATTGAAGTTGAAATGATCACTACTACAAAAATAGGCTTACAGACCTGGCCTTAGAGACCCCTTTACAACGGGGCTCTATCTCGAGGGTCTGTTTGATAAAGAGGCCCCTTATTATGGGGGATCTGCTAGATATGGTGTATGATAGACATATTGAAAGGGAAAAGACCCGTTTTTCGTAATGTGGGTCTCTTAAATAGGATTCAAAAACTGTAATATTTATTTAAATTTTAAAATTTAAATTTTGAAAGTTTTGTTTTTAGCGCTCCATTAAAATTGTTGAAATTATAAAATTACATTGCAAAAGTACAATTCAAGATATATCATACAACTTTTCATACTTGCTTCAACAAGTTATACAATCACACTTCATAAAAGTACAACAAATATAGCATTCAAATATACCAAATATTTGCAATTTATAAACTTGCAATTCTTTGGTTACATAAAACTAACTTAAGATGAGTACATATAATTATATATCTATATCTTTCTTCTCATAAACTTTTATTTGCCATCTTCATCCAATTCAATCTCTGCAATAATCAATAACAAAGCGAACATTTAAAATCAGATCAAAATATACACAGTAAGAACAAGAAAACACATATTCAGAATAAATCAAAATTGAAAGTAATCTGACAATAATTGGAGTACATAAAGGTGCTCAAAAATGAAAACAATAGATCTAAAAGTACTACTTCAAAATATAAATTAAACAAAAGTTTTAAAGTTATAGAAGAAATCAAAACCAAAAATTAAAAGTAATGAATAACATATAAAAACTGACCTGAATCTGTTTTCGGAAATGAGTTATCATTCAAAGTCAAAATCCAAGCAAAAAGAAAAGAAAAAATTCATACAAAAAGTATACTCTTAAAACATACAAAGTATTATTATGCTTCAGATCTTGCAATTTAGACACTCAAATTGAGCCATTAAGAGGCGTGAAGTTGCATCGAACGACACTAGAGGGAAGGTGGTTGTTGCTTAATTTTTTTTTTTTTTTTTTGTTTATTTGAAAAAAATAATCAAAGAAGCAAATAGATAATATCAAAGATTAAGAGGATATAAAAGTTAAAGTGAATTATAAAGTGAGGAAGAGGAGTAGAAACGTCTGGAGTATCAAGGTGATTAAAGGTGATGGATATAGCACTAGTGTAGACACCCATTTGTGTCTCCCTAAAATCAAACCTGGTGATGAGTACCTTTCACGTCGAAGCATAATCGAATGAAGTGAAAGTATGGAAAGTTTAGTGTTACGGACAGCTTTAATTTCTTTCTTTTCCCTCTGTTTTTGAAAACCTATTTTAAGAAAATAGAAAATCCAGTTTGGTTGGTCCATGATATGGGTCCATTAATAGTGTAGTTGGTTAGGGCTTGAAAAGAGCTTTCCAACGATATATTATAAGCCCAATTCCGATGAATATTGAGGAAGTTATGACCCAAGTGGTCTTGGTTGCACTCTAGTGCAGCCAAGATAGCTACAACAAGTGAGGCCCAAAACGCGCGGCCCAAATAAAAAATGAACATTTAGTTAAAAAATATGAACAAGAAAAAAATGAATATTTAATAACAAAAAATGAACACGTAAAAAAATGAACATTTATTAGTAAAAAGTTTATATGTTATAAGGAAATGATCATTTACTACCTCCGTTAATGGTTATCTGCAACTTCACAATTTTTTATATCTCACAAATAATACCCCAAAGTTGCACATAACCATTAACGGAGGTAGTATTAAAAATGAATCTGATTATCATATAATCATAAATTTGCTAGACCACGACCTTAAAAATGAACATTTAGTTAAAAAATGAACACATAAAAAAAAAGAAAAAAAAAAAAATATTCAGTAATAAAAATGAACACGTAAAAAAATGAACATTTAGTAATAAAAAGTGAACATGTCAAAAAAAATGAACATTTAATATATTAGAAATGAACATTTATCATACAACCATAAAATTGGGATTATATACATCAGAAATTCTCCAACTTAAAGGCAAATTCGTTGTAATATCATATACTTCTTCATCACTATTTACTTGTTTCTTCAATAATTCAGAGTCTTTGTCTTCTACAAATACAATTAATCTGTACTCACTAAAATATAACAAATAATCAAAGTTCATAACAATCACAACATATGTTCATAATAATTATTTAGAATGTTCATAATATATAATCATCAATACAAAAGTTAAAAATATAAATAATTATCACTCTATATGTCATATGTGTTCATAATCAATAGTAGATATATTCGTAATGAATAACGAAACATATATATTCATAATAAATTGTTCAGAATTTCAACACTAAATGTTTAGATAATTTAACTTTCAACGTATTATATTTTACTTTCAACTTAATAAAAATGAACATTTAGTATTAAAAAATAAACACTTATAAAATGAACATGTAACAAAAAGTTATGAACATTTAGGATATTAAAATGAACATGATTTTCATAAAGGTTCAAATTCATTGTATATAATTATTAATGAAAAATAATGATAAAATAAATTGTTGAAATATGTTCATTTTTTATGTATTTAATATTCATTTTCGGTGTACTAAATGCTCATTTTGTAAAAGTTGTTCATTTTTAAATTCCTACGTGTTCATTTTTTTTTTACAGAAATTATATTCAAGTTCGATTGTAATTATTGAAACTCTAAAAAATTGAATATACACCTTAAATATAATCTTGATTCATCATAGAGAAATTAATTATTGATTTGTAACATGATTAGAAATCAAAAGAAAAAAAATCAAAAGAAAAAGAGAGAGAGAGGGGGGGGGGAGAAAATAACTACAAATTAAGCAATACAATTGATATTCATTAATAATTAAGCAATTTAATTGATATTCATCACAAACTCATAATAATTTCAAACAATCAAACAATAAATCATCATGCATGGTCAACGAAATCATACAAAATACAATTACAAATTGATAAAATCTAACCTCCATTGTTTTCTTTGACTTCAACTTTCTCTCTCCTCCATTTTTTTTCTTTCCTCTTTGATAAAGCCAAATGATTGAATCTGAAACTCATAGATTTAGAAAGAAAGAAGTATACCCATTAAAACACGAATTAGTAACTCAAAAATTTATATAAAGAAGAAGAAAATTTTAAAGATTGAAGGGAAATGAGGTAAAGAGGAGAGAGAAAATGTTAAATTGAGAAGAAAACTGAAGAGAGAGAAAAATAATAGAGCTAAGGAAGAATAAGAAAGAGAATTAAGATATAAGGAAGAAAAAAAACATATGTTCATTTTAACGTTCTATATGTTCACATTTAATGGTGTTGCAGCTAGCTTGGTTGCACTAGAATGTAGCCAAGAATTTGCAGTTATGGCCAAATTACTAAACTGGGCCCAGTTTGAGCCTTATATGCGGCCCAATGATCTAGATGAGGGCCTAATATGGATTTATCATTCCTAATGCAATTAGGAATGGTTTTAGTCTTCTACATTCTTCTAGAAGGTTTTTTTCATTCCTAATTCAATTAGCATTGATAAATTGACTTTTGTTGACCTTTTGGAATTTTTAATTAGAATAAAAGAGTGTTTTTAAGGAAAATATGATTTTATCCTCCTGTACGATTAAATTCTATCTGATTTTAGAAAACGCGTAAAAAAATGATTAGCGTCTGGCGCTAGCATTAGTGTCTGGGCTAATGTCAGCGTCTGGCGCTAACTTCGTTTTTTCACGTCAGAACTCTGGTTTGATTTTCTATCTTTTTGGCTGATTTTCTCTATAAATAGCCTCCTAAAAACTCTGTTTTAAATCATCAATTCTCATCTCTAATCTACAATCTACAACCAATAATCATCCCTATCTCTTTTCTAAACCACCTTTTACACAAAATTCCGCATTCACAAGACCTAGATACACCTAGCATAATTCGAAGTTGCCTTCGCCCTAGACGTAAAAAGTTTTAATTTCTGAGGGTTTGGTCCCAAATCTCTCTTTCAATTATTATTTAATTGTTTGTTTTTTTTATTTTCCTTGAAGTTACTAACGTGTGTATTTTGTTATTAGAAAGAGGTACGAGGCATCCAAGTAAGTGCTTTAATTGTTTACATTGTTATTATGATGTAGAAATCATGTCTAGGTTGTTATTATGATTCATAATGTTATGTTAGGGCGTTTTGATCTTCCTAGTATCATGTTTAGGGTAACGTTAATATCAAGTATGATTAAAAGTATGATGCCTTTTATATTCTTTCCTAATACTAATATAGTATGTTAGTATCATGTTAGGGTTAAAGCTTTGATCTTTGATGCTTAGTGACATGCTAGGGTTTGTTATTAATCTTGTTAGTATCATGCCTATGATCTTGCTATTATTATGCTTTAACATGAATATCATGATTATGATTATTTTAATTATTATTATTATGATATTGTTATTTTGATTTATTATGTTTCTTGATATATTTATTGTTATTGCTTGATCCCGCCTTTTATGCATGTTTGAAGGGAATTGGTACTTGTAATCACGCTTAATAAGATAATTAATAATCTTGTTTAGGGTTAATATGATTATAATTCAAGTGATCGCCAATAATAGTTCTATTTGTGCATTTATATTCAACCAACATAGATTAAACAGGTTTAAGGTAATCCTATTGATTGCATGTTAGTCAGAAAGCGCACATGAGTACGATCAGAATAAAGTAGAGACCTATTATTAGGGCAGGTTCAATCTCTTTTAGGTTGGATTTGTACCTTCATCCCCGAACTACCAGTCATGGTTCCAGATCTATTGGAGTTGACGATCTCTTGGATTGTTAAGGGGTGTAACCTTCACCTCGTGAACGGTTTACAAGTTCCTAAAACTTGTTGGCGACTCTTTTGCTCTATCTTCTTTCCCTTTGGACGCCACCGTACTTTAGTGTATGATCACAGAGGGGTTCAAGCTAGGGGTAATGCTTGAAATATTCCCTACAACTAGTAAGGAATTTTTAATCATAAATAAAGAAAAGTAAAGGAGACATTTGATTTATAAACTTGTTATTGGCCTGGGCGATGCCCCAGATCATTATAAATTTATTACTTTAATTGAACTATATATATTTTGGTTTGTTTAATTTGTCATTGAGAGCTTAAGAGCTTTTTTAAAAAATATATATGATAGCTTAAGTAGTTAGTTGTTTGTATGAGGTGGTTTGACCCTCCATATAGGGTAAATGATAAATCAATCCAATGTGAAAAAAATATATTATTGATAAATCAAATATGTATAAATGTCAATATAAAAATTACTCTATATTTATAATTGTAATATATATAAATCAAAACTTTTACTCTATAATTACAATCTTATGAATTAATGCATAAAAATACGGAGTAATGTTTAGTTTCTTACAAATTTTATTATTATGCAATTATTAAGGATTTACATTCCAAGCTAGGGAAATTTAAATAAGTGTTATGTATATGAAGAGTTTTTCAATTAAACAAAACATTAATATATAGAGGTTATGCATATATTGAGTTTTCAATCATTAATGAGTTTTCAATTAAACAAAACATTAATATATAGAGGTTATGCATATATTGAGTTTTCAATCATCAATGAATTTGTATGATGTGGCGTCACAATATATGCCAAATGGAAAAATTTGTGACACATGGCAAAATTGCATGTATCGCCATGGGTTTTAATAATATATATATATATATATATATATATATATATTGATATGACTTTCTGTATTTCTCTAGATTTTCCCAACGAGAAAAGTGGGCCCTCGTGTACATAAAAGACCCGTTAGATTAACAACGGGTATGTTATTTCTCTATTTTTCTTTCACCGCCAAACGTAGTGGGTCCTAATGCACATAAGAGACCTCTGGCGTGACATTTTATGTGATATGTTTATGTTTAGTTGTTGCTTATGTGGCGTGACATTTGGCGAAATAATAGAATGCCAAGTGTCACTATCTCGTGGTCTGGCTGCGAGACCGACTTTATATATTAGTGATATAATATGACATAATCAATGATATGATATGATTAGTGATCACTGATATGGCATGACATGATATTAGATTTTTTTTGGTTTGTCAATTAACGCCGTTAAGGAAGAAAACACATATCTCCATTGTCCTCTTGCTAACCACTGTATTCTTCTTCCTCCTATAAACCAGCACCACTAAAAATAACCACTATATTCTTCCTCCTACAAACCATCACCACTGTAAATACAACCATCTTCATCTTCTTCTTGCGATCCCACCGACCTTCATCTTCCTCCTTACATCGTCACCGACACCAATATTCATGGCGGCTTCGCCGCTAAATTAAACGAAAACCCTACAAATATCGGAGTAATTTAGGGTATGGTTAACCCAAAGGTAAGTGGTATTTCCCTTTTTCATTAATTTCACCATTGAAGATAAGCTTTCCCTAATTTGTGATTTTATCTCCATTAATGGCCAATCACGAAGCAGTTGATCGTCCAACTTCTCTGTTTTCTCTCGTTAATTGAGTAAAAGTTGAAAGTTCACAAACACCCTTGGTTTTATAGCTTGAATGTCGAAATTACCCCGGGATAAACAATTCATGTTTCTCACGGATAGAAAATTGGATTTTCTCACATTTAGCTGGTGACCTATAGGTTTATGAGGGCACCTTAGTTGTATCATTTTGATAAACATTTTATCAAATTGCAAACTTGTAAATAATTGGCAAAAATTTTGCAATGTTCATGGAAGAACTGTTATTAATATTTATGGTTCTAGTCGTTTGACTATGAACTGTGCATAATTTTGGTGGTTAATATGCAAGTTTTCCGTCTTTATAAACATCAAGTGAGGGATGGCTCATGTAATTATTATAATTTCACTCCTGATTTTAGGTGAATATGAGATCAACTCTCATCAGTCACCACTCACCACCCAACCCATACGGACCATCTAAACTAGGGCTGAGCAAAACTACCCGAAAAACAGATTCGTAATTGTTCCGAAAATTAGGGTACCCGATCTGATAACCATAACGGTTCGGGTACCCGTTCCGATAATTTGTTATCGAGTATGGTTATTGGGTATCATTTTAAAATTAACGATTACCCGATCCGTTCCGATAAGCATTTTTTTGCTTTGAGCTCATTCACGAGCTTTTTGAGCCAAGCTTGGGTTTGCTCGTCCTTGCTCGTTAAGTTTCCCAGCCGAACTCGAACTCGTACTTAAATCTATTTTTTTAAAAATATAAACTCTTACTTTACTTTGTAGTTACTTTATAATATCAATGATTAGTAATATTATTAATAATTTGGTCAAAATCATATGATATTGTTTGTTAATTAGTGGTAAATTATATCAAAATAACTACATTTTTTTTTACAATCAAGAAAACAAAGAAGATTTAAATGCCCTTTCTTGCTGCAACTGCAAGTTTATGGGCTTCAAAGACTCTACTTCTATTTACTTTCCTAATCACAAAACTTTGGAATAAAAGAGCACATTTTTTTAATTTCTCCACAATTTTCTTGATCTCCTTTTGGCTTTAGTGCTATCCGAGATTGCTTGGGCCAACTCCAAAGAATCAGTAAACATCACAACGTTGTCCCTTTCTAAACTCGAGCTTTGTAGAGCCATTAATGCCGCTTTAGCCTCAGCTTGACAGGGTGAAGTGGCAAAAACAGGACTTTTTCCCCTGTTAATTACATTACCTCTATCTTTAATTACCCACCCAACAGCTGCTCTCCATGCGCTGCTATGCTTGCTGTCCATTTTCTTCCATGCACCATCAATGATGATGGTATACCTTTGGTTAGCTGGCTTGTCATTGGCTTGGTTTGAACAGGAACTTTGGTGCCTGTCATCAACTTCCACGTTGGCTGCCATTCGACCCCTTTTTCCACCTGTTTTGGTGTTAATCCCTAAGTCCCATCTCTGATTCCAGTGCTGCCCCAAGCTGATAATACTATGAGGGGAGACTAAGGAATTATTGAAGCTGATGTTATTTCTTGACAACCAGATACTCCAGAGAGTGCTCACAAATTCCATGGTTGTATGATTTTGAGCGTCATCCGTTGAAAGAAACTAAAATAGGAAGTTAGACAACCAAGTACTTATGTCAAGATTCCTTCCTATTTCCGAGTTGATGCCCAGATTACTGCATCTCCAAGTTCTTGTTGTTACTTCACACTCCCTGAACAAGTGGCTCGTGGTCTCTTCTTCCGCGTTGCATAGTTTGCATTTTGTTTCAATATCAATGCCTCTCTTCTTTAGGTTACTCAACGTTGGCAGAGCATTGTTCATCAATTTCCAGATGAAGATCTTGTGCTTAGGCCAAATTTTTGATTTCCACCATATTTTCCAGAAGCAAGAAGTCGGGGTTCCATTGTTGTTGCTACCCTTTGACTACCAATATCCCGATCTTGTAAAGTAATGCCCTGTACTCGAAGGACCCCAATCCAAACCATCAGATTGAAGTTGGTTACCGGGGTGAATAGCAAGGATATCCTTTGCTATAACGGGGCTAAACCATTTCCATACTAAACCCACCTTCCATTTTCCCTGTTCGTCAAGTAAATCACTAACAAAAACTGGTTTTTGCTATGTGAAAGTAAGCTGGTTGTCCTTGCATTTGATAATCTTATCAGTCACCCACCAGTCATGCTCCACCTTTATGATTTTACCATTAGCTATGGTTCTTCTAAGACCATCCCGCAGATGATAGATACTCTTGAATATGCTTCTAGCACCCCAAGACATTAAGGTCTTCATCTCACCTCTTCGTCCTCTGTCAAACCAGTCATCCTTGTACTTTGCTCTGAAGATTTAGCTAACATTTAGTTGCAGGTTTGAGTGCATCCTCCAAGCTTGCTTGAAAACAAGAGCCTGGTTGAGACTCTTAAGGTTTCGTAGATCAATACCTCCTTCATGCTTGTGATTTTCAAGGAGAGACGTTTTCCTCCAATAGATAGGCCTTTTCTCCATGAAGGATGACCACCAGAATTTCAGGATAAAAGAAGATAGTTTTTTGATGATTTTTTGGGGTAGCAGATAGTTGCTAAGAATGTGGCTGGCCATGGCAATGAGGATGCCATTTATGAGAATCAATCTTCCCGCTTGAGATAATTTGAGGACTTCCATGACGATAGCTTAGAAGCAATTTTATCCACAATTTCTTGAAAGACTTCGGTGGACCTTCCATCGACGTTCATTGGACATCCCAAGTATGTGCCCATCTTCTCATTGTCCTTCACCCTTAGGATTCTTTTCAGAATTTTCTTGAACCTTAGAGGCATGTTTTTTGAGAATATTACATACGACTTATTGAAGTTTACCATTTCTCCAAAAAGATTGCAGAATTGGTCAATAGCAATCTTCATCACACCAAAGTTTTCAATATCGGCTTTAAGGAAAACAAAGCATCGTCAGCAAAAAAAAGAGGAGATATAGTTAGCCCTGAGCGAGAAACTTTAATTCCTTTAAGGCTGCCCGAAACTTGTAGGTGACCAAGTTTTCTCGAGAGAACCTCCACACATAATATGAAGATGTAAGGTCAGATCGTGTCTCCTTGACGTAAGCCCGAGTTAGGCACTATTTTCTTTGAGGACTCACCATTAATAAGGACATGGTAGAGACTGTAGTGATGCATTGCATAATCCATTGAACCCAAAGGGAAGGAAAGTTCATTTGGATTAGAACATTTTCCACAAAATTCTAGCTTATCCTATCATAGGCCTTGTTAAGATCGACCTTCAGAATGCTTTCAAATTTTCCCGTTGATGCCTTCTTCTTAATTTTGTGGAGTAATTCATGTCCCACCAAGGTACTGTCAGATATGGACCTCCCTAGGACAAAAGAATTTTGGCACTCTCCCACCAGGTCACCTATGATATGTCGTAGTCTTTTCACAAGGAATTTTGATATGATCTTATACGATGTATTGCACAAACTTATCGGTCTGAAATCTAACACCAACTCAGGGTTATTTACTTTTGGGATGAGGGTGATGAAGGTTTCATTGAGCTCCCTAAGTAAATAACCCTCTCTAAAGAAATCCGAGCAAGAGCCAAACACATCATCTTCTACCGTCTTCTAGTTTTGTTGAAAAATAGAAGGAGGAATGCCATAAGGTCCTGGTGATTTGTGGCCCTTCATGCTGAAGGCAACTTGCTTCACATCTTTTTTTGTGAACGGGAGCCCTAACAAGACGATGTGCTTATCAGAGAGCTTAGGAATAGATTGCTTCTAGATGTCCCAGTTGCTACAATCCCACTCTTGAGGAGTACCTGCATGAAATAAATAAAGCATGAATAGAGGGATCATCGGAGCACCAGGTTCCCTCATTGTTCTTGATTCCTTTTATTTCATTTTTCATTCTCCGGGTAATAACACACTTGTAGAAAAAGGATTTCTTATTGGGTAGCCGATAACCGATCCGAAAATCCGGGTACCCGAACTTATCGGTTCGGATTATGGATATCACTTTTAGGAATTTTGGTTATCGGATACCCGAACCGTTAGTAGTAATGGTACGGGTATCCGTCTCATTGCATGCTTACCCCTAGGGGTGAGAAAAAATTCTGGGTACCCGGAATTGGAACCGGAACCGGAGGGTCCAGAACCGGAATTGGACCCGGTGGTTCCAATTCCGGGTAATAAATTAAGAACCTAGTTATAACCAATTCCAATTCCAATTCTCAACTTTTTGGAACCGGAACCTGTTGGGTACCCGGTTATTTAATATATGCTAAACTAAATAAATTTGAAATAATAAAAATATGTTGAATGTATCTAATTTGTAAATTAAAAAAGTAATATTGTATTAATACCTAACATAAATACAAATAGCTTCATGCATATAAAATATAAGTATTAAACGCTAAAAATGAAATTAACTAAAATAAAAATTATAATTTGTATTATATTTTAACAATTACATACATAAGTGGGTACCCGGAACCGGAACCGGTACCCGGTGGTTCCAATACCAATTCCTAAATTTTAGGACCCGGTTGAACCAATTTCAATTCCGAATCCGAATTTTAGGACTCAGTTCCAACCAATTTCAAATCCGGGTCCTAAAATTTTGACCGGATACTCGGTTTGCTCATCCCTAACCACCCCTATTATTCTAAACACGAAAAAAAAAACTACAACCAATGAAAAAACAGGAAACACGTCATAAAGAGTTTCCCTCAAATTCCCAGGTTCGATTTATTACAAGTCCAAACTCCAATTTCTGTAGACCAGAAATCCAAAATTCATCCTTCCTTTATTCAACTTTCCCAGAAATCACAATTTCTTAGTCAGAAAAATCAATTGTTTCAATTTTCTGTCTCAATTGGATCCCAACTTCACTTCAATTTAGGGATCCAAGAGAGAAAAAACTCAAAATCAAACATCAAAGATGCATTCTTTTGGGTACAGAGCTAATGCACTGCTAACTCTAGCTGTAACAATTCTTGCAATTATGTGCTGCGTCGCTTCTTTTTCTGACAATTTAAATTCCCCTTCTCCTACTGCCGACATTAAGGTCCAGATTTTTATTTTCATCTTTTCAATTTTTATTTTTTCTAATTATTTTTAATTAATCTTCATTATTTGTTCTGATCTGGGTGTTTTTTTGGTTTCAATTTAGGTGGTCAGCATTCATAGATTTCAGAAACTCTCCAGTGGCAATGATGAGGTAATTTTTCAATTTCTGGGTTTTTAATTTTTGTGGGGTTTCTATTTTTTTTTGTCTCATCAATTTTTTTTTGTTAATTAATGCATGTTACTTTGAAAAATATGTATACACTAGCAATTGACTTGGAAAAATCAGGAAAGGATGGATTTAGTAATTTTCTCTGTGATAATTTCCAGTTCAAGACATTAGACATATAAAAATGTCTGAGAATGTGATGTATAAGAATGCGCCATTTCATGTTTTTTGGTTTTATAAAAGCCATTGTTATCTTTTATTTAAGTGTTGATTTTAGCTTTTTAATTTGAAGCTAGAATTGAAACGCGCAAATTAGACATACACCCGGTTACATGTAGGTGTTGTTTGGTTGATGTGGGTATTTAATTCCCATAGGAATTTATACTTCATGGGAATTTAATTCCTTAATAACATTCCTAGGAATTTCTAAAGTGTGTTTGGTTGGTAATGAGGGAAATTGAAATTCCCATGAATTGTAGTTTACCAAGGGGGGGCTAGGTAATTTACTTCCCATGTTTTGAGGGAAGTTGAAATTCCCATGAATTCTCACTTCCCTCATTTTTGCTTTTTTAGATCAACCAAACAACTACCCACTTTATCAATTCCCATGAATTTTCAATACCCTCATTTTATAATGTCAACCAAACAAGCCCGTAGTTCTTCATGTAAAAGGGTTAGTTTGAGTATTTTTCTTGTAAGAAAGGCACATAGGTATGAAACAAAAGCATACAACATCAAAATGAAAGCACAAATATTATTATAGAAGCACATTGATGATAAAGAAAAGCTCATAGACAGCAATTGGTAAGGAATGAAAGCATATGAAGCATAATAATCATTTTAAAAGCACATAACAATCTTAAAAGAAGCACATTATTACATTAAAAAAAAACTACAATACATTGTTATTTTAACCAGTTGCTGGTAAAAGTTATATACAAATACAACTGGGTGTAGCTTATACTAATTGAGACATGTGTTCTTAATCTTTTTTCTTTATTCTCCTTTCGATTGGAATTGTTCTAATGTTTTGTTTTTCCAGGTTGCCATGGTGCTGAATATTTCAGCTGATCTCCAGTCATTGTTTACATGGAATACAAAGCAGGTTCATCATAATATTTTCATGCAATCCTAGTGTTAATGTTTCTCTTGTCATGCTTTTGTTGAATTTTCCGTTGTTTGTGTTCCTACCTGTCTCCTCCAATCTCGTTCATAAGAGATTAGTATTAAAAAAAAAACTGTGGCAGCTAGTTGTAGGATTTACTGTTTTTATGTAATTCTTGCTTTTCTTTGGCATTAAGTCAATAAAGGTCAACTTGAACTAGGTGCTTGGTTCTCTTTTATTGTGTTAGAAATCTAGAACCTGCTTGGATAGTTACTCTAGCATAACCTCTTTCTTAGGGCTGAATTATAGACTTTTATTGTTATTGACTAAGCTCTTCTGTTATTTTTGTTGTAGGTGTTCGCATTTGTTGCTGCTGAGTATGAAACCAAAAAACATGTACTGAATCAGGTAATTGGGTGATTAGACACTGTTATCTTCCGTGTGTGTGTGTGTTTTATATCCTGTTTCTGGTGTTTGTTAAATGCGAAACTACCAAACTGCTGCGGTTAAAAAAATTTGTTGTTTTATTTGAAATCACTTGCCTAACATTGTGTACCTGTACCTTAGGATAGATACTATAGGAAAGTGGATTGAGACTTTAAAGTTTAAAGGCAACCTTTTTCCATTCTCATGCCCAAAGAACAAGGAAAAGCTGAAAGATGTCAGTAATTCAGAACTCACTTGTGCAATTGTGCTGTATAGACGGAATATTGAAATGGGATCAATTGCAAGAATGGGATCTTATTCCGCATAATAAGAATTCTTAATTAAGCCAAAGTGCAAGATTCTAATAAAATAGATTTCATGTAAAAGATATTGGATGAAGATGCAACCATTTTATTTTGGTGAATACCTTACAAAACATATAGACTTCTTTTTTATCTACCACTACCGACAAGGCGACAATCCGCAAAGTAGCTCCCTACAAATATGAGAGAAAAAGCATCTCCAACGGCAAGCTAATTGTCAAAATACCTTACCTTGCCACATAGTAACATTTTAAGCTAATTTGTACCCCAATGGCTAGCTATTTCCTTGCTACCTAATTGTCGAGCAAATTAGCTTGCCCAAGCTAAATTTCTTTTCTAACTCCAATGGTTAAGCTAGTAGCTTGAGACTTTTTAAAATTGTAAGCAAGGCCCCTATTCTGGTATGGATGGAAGACAAGCCTATATCTCGTGGGGTTTTGATGGGTCCTTACGAGCCTTTGATGTTTAGATGATGGGTCAATTTTATTTATTCTGGTCTGGTGTGATCATTTTCCTAGTAATATATTCTTTATGAGCTTCTTTTTCTAGCCGTTTCTCATCAATATGGTTGGATGTAGATGGTCTCAAAGAGTTTACTGTAAATTTTATTGAGTCTGCAGATCAGTAGAAGCATAGTCAATAATCAGAAATTCAGAAGATAGGGTAACTGGGACTTTATCTATGTTCTTATCAGCAAAAAACTTCTATATCTATAAAAAAATAAAATTGAAAAATAAACAGCTGATGCTATTAACTAGTGGGATACCTTACTTTGTAGCATAGAGGAATTGCTGCAACTGAATATGATGACCTAACCTAAGAAATCACATACCCTACCTGACACATGCTATTTTGTCAAATGTGTTTCAAGGAGTCTTTGATGCCTTAACTTGATGTATAAAGTAAGATCTTTTTGGAGATGAAAGAACTTGTCAGCAATTTGCATACCACAACATCTCAATAATGTTTGAGAATCTTTTTGTTCTAATCCGACAACTTTTGCTCTCTGCTATATTGCTTGCATATGGCTATTATGCTCTGTGATGCTTTATGTTGATTTGTCAACAATTAAATCTAAAAATAAAATCAATAAAAGGTTCCATAAGATGAGGCTTCTGATGTGACATAGGCATCCCTAGCTCACTAGATAGTTGCAACGGGATGAGCGTTGATCGCCATGCGGCGCATGAATCCCCGAGGCTCTAACCAAATCAGCTTTCCCCTATGTGCGCAACGAGCGTTAATAACAATTACAATAGAAGATAACATGCACAATGATACGAACCTGCACCAAGACACGTGAATAAGTATAGGCACATAGGCATAGGGAGGTTGCCTCATATAGGACTTGTTGTGCCGAGGCATGTAAGGCTAGTGACATAGTGCTCCAAACCCCTTACCACTGCCTCCTCTTTTATGCTAAGGCCCTATTCACTTCACTTTAAAAACTTTATTTGGTAAAGTTAATTCTAGTTTGGTAAAAATAAGTTCATTTTAGTAAAAATAATTTCAATTCAGTAAAAATAATTTTTAATCAATAAAATCAGTAGCTTTTAAGGAGATATATACGAAGTGATAGAGAGTAAGATATACAATAGAGAATCAGTAAAAATTATTTCAATTGAGCAAAAATAAGTTCAATTCGGTAAAAATAATCTTTGTTCAGTAAAAATAATTTTAGCTCAGCATAAATAAGGTGAAGAGATCATGCCCTAAGTCAGATTTGATATAATGGTGGGTGGGAAACAATTCTGTGATAGTTTTGTTTAGAGATGTCCATTATAATAGATTCAATGATCTTGGTAACCATGTCAGTTGTTTGGGCAAGGTCAAGTTCTTTGTCAACCATATCACATTGTTAGTGTTACAGGTGCAGCTGAAATTCTGAAAATATTGTGTAGAATTTCAGGTCGACTGACATTCAATTGTTTCCTCCTCTCAATTTGTTCCTTCTATGTTGATTGAACCCTGGATTCAACATACAGTCCATGTGATTTCATTTTTAAACTTGTTTTACTTTATTTCCTCTGTTCTATGCTATTTGCTACATGGGGTTGGCCAGTTGGGGTACACAAACTAAGGAGATCACGTGAATTGGAGAGGAATAGAGATATAAGAGGGACTATGTGATGAGCAGAGAGATAGAGAGAGTGCAATACCAAAATTGGATGTATAGCTATTGATTTGAAACTTCCAGTTAAGGAAATGTAAGTATAGAACAGAGGAAATCAGTCAAAAGAGTTTTGATACACAAATGAAGTTTAATTAGGTGATAATTTTGGGCAGCTCTTTTGGTTGTTCTGCTATCTTGAAAAGGGTCTAATCTTGAAAGTCCTTTGTCCTCTTAAAATACACACAAAAGATATTTTCCAGTACTGATGTTAAATTTTGCTAGGTCATGTTCTCAGGTTTATACTTCTGGAAAACCCTTTGCAGTAACTAATATATTCTATAACTAATTCACTACACCCTTTCCACTGCAAACCTGCTTGTCATGCTGTCAGGTTTAAACCTTTTGTGATAACTAATTTGTTATTTAATTTTCTTTTGAGCAGCTTTCGCTCTGGGATACGATCATAGAATCAAAAGAAAAGGCCAAGTTTTCAGTTAGTATCTCAAACAAGTACCGATTTACTGATCAGGTAGGAATTTACCTGTCTTCTTTTTTCTGTTCCCCTCTTCTTGGCACTGCCTGCGTATAGCAGTTGGCTGTAACATCTTATTATTCGTTTTTCCATGCATTTTAATGCAGTGGCTGCCATAGTTATGTTAAAAGCATTATCGTAGTTTTATGGCCATTGAACTAAACTTGTAGCAACTAGTTAATTGAAAGCTTTGTAACTATTACATGTTGATTCCAGGGAAGCAATTTGCGAGGCAAGGAGTTCAACTTAACATTGCACTGGCATGTAATGCCCAAGACTGGAAAGATGTTTGCTGACAAAATTGTGCTGTCAGGATACCACTTACCAGAGCAATACAGATGATCCACCTATTGATCTCTTCAAGTTAAGACTGAGGTTTAGAGTTTCTTATTTAAGGATTTTGACATCACATGTTTAGACAAAAGTTAAAGCAATGAAAAGATAAGCTTTTGGACTTTTTATTGTCAAGCAAAGGTGAACAAGAAAGCTTTGAATTTCATTCTAGTTACGTATTTCCTCAGAGAGGGAATAAGATTATAACAACTGCACCGGCAAATAACAATAGCAGCAGAATTTTTCACAATGAAAAGCTGATTTCCACTACTGTACAATGATCAATGATATGATTTTGTGTATATGACCATGATAAAATGGAAGAAGCATGGCTACAAATTTTTCTTGGCACCGTGATCATGTCTGAGCTAAACCTTTGGGCGCTTATTGGTAACGAGCTAATTTGCGTTCCTGTTAAAAGCTTTAGGTAGTGGATGCTCTGCAGTCTGCTCTTATTTATCAGTCGCGGTTGTCTTAAGGCAAACTAATTTCTTTTAGGTTCGATATACAAAGTATATTTATTGTTTCCAGGCTATTCATGCAGTGATTGTGTTGAAACATCAGCTATGGGAGTATAAATAAGTTTACTTATAGTAAAAGTCAGGAAAAATAAGTTGTAATTAGTAATAACTAATAAGATGAAAAGAACAGTCTTACATAGTTGATGTTTAAAAAAGCAATGTATCCAAATCACTATATAGGTGAGAGACTAATGGCCCCAACCTGGAAAAATCATCTGTCAAATGTTATTCAGATGATATTAGCTAGGAAAATTGTTAGATTGTTGATGAGGAAATAATGAGGGAGGTTAGTTATGCATTTGCAAATGCATAACAAATACTAAAATATTAAAAAGTACATGGGGGTGAGAGAAAGGAGGAGAGAGATGGGTAAGTGGGGTCACTTTTTGAATGTTCCGTCGAAAGCTTAGATACTACCATTGACCATATAGTGATACTATTTCTATCGTAGTGATACTATTTCTACACGTAGTGAGTACCACTGAATGAATTAATAGTACTGTTTTGGGTGTTTTTGTCCCTCGGGAGAGTTACAACACAAAGACTGATCCGGGGTGAGCTGTACCTGCAAAACAAACGGAGACACCAGTTGGGTGGTGCTCCGCCTCCGACGCACAAGTTAGAAACTTGAAGGGAGAAAAAGGTGCGGAAATTTAGGTGGGGATCTACCCGGATTCCAAGCTCAGGATGTCTCTATCAAAGAGTAAAATGTGTAATAAATGATAAAACGTGTCCTCAAAATGAGGGATATCTCCCTATTTATAGGGTCTTTGGGAATTGTGCCCCTGATTAGGTTACTGAACCCTAATCATTGGTGGGTTGCACCGTTTGGCGGCATTCTAGGGATTTGGGCCTGAAGGCCGCCTTTTCCCTTAATTTCGGGAATGACACGTGTCGAGCAGGGATTGGTCCATTTTAAACCAATCTGGGGCTGACACGTGTCACCTTCTAATTGGGCCACGTGGCAGGGTAAAATTACCCTAAACATTTTCCCCTCACAGATGTGACGTGGCACGCCACGTGGCATCTGGGACACATGTCACGCTCCGGCTGGCGGTAATTTTACCGTTACAGAGTAACCGTTCATCTTCCGGGGAAATTACAGAAATGCCCCCAAATTTACCCTCATAATTTTGTACGTTTTACAAAAATTTTCTAGAGAGAAACTTCGAGAGAGCAGAAGACATCCGTTTTAGTCAGGCGCGAGCAAGAAACTTTGTTCTTCCGCAACCCAGCCGGACCCGCCTTCCTTCAGATATCAAATCCAAAGGTACCGTCTCTGTCTCTCTCAGCTCTTTTCTTTTTTTCACCGTTTGTACATATTTCTTGCAATAAATGGATGCATCACCAACACACACGACACAACCTAGGTTAGAGTCCAGCCGGTCACCAGGGACGGCTGAGTCTAGGACTGGGAGTGCCGGCTCGGGGTGTTGGGACCACCCTTTGCCATGGATTCCGACCAGTTATGTGTCCGTGCAGGACACCATGGCTCGGAAAATGCAGACGGCCACTGATCCGAATTATAGAAGCGAAGGCTCAGGCGGCCAAACGCCTAAGGGAGAATCGTCTGGTCAGGGAGACCAGACAGCTCTGGAGAGATCCCCTCCGCGCGCCCCTTCAACCCCTGCTGACTCTTTCTTGGAAGAGTGTGACCAAGGCGGCGACGAGGCCGCCTCTGCCCCCATGGACCAAAGCGAGGGGGAGACGGAGAGCGACAGCTCCGCCTCTACCTCCGAGAGCAGCGATGACTTGCCCCCTCTTCCAGATAGCGAGGAGGAAGAAAGGAAAAAGTGGAATGAGAAGGACGATCCCTTCAGCATCCACGTCTCCTCCAAGGACCGAATCCAGATGGGGGAGAACTTAGAGAACTATAAGAAAATGCACCCGCTTGGAGACGGGTATAAGATCCGGGTGCCGCCTGAGCTGGGCACCATCGCTTGGGGGGATGATCAAGAGAACGCCAACAGCTATTTTGGCTGTTATGAGGCGGCGTTCAAAGCCGGCCTTCGCTTCCCCCTTCACCAGGCGGTGAAGGCAATTTTGAGAGGCTACGGCCTTGGGGTCTGGATATTTACCCCCAACTCCTGGACCAACATTCTGGGGTATGTTGCCGCCTGCGAGTTCTAAGGGCTTAACCCCGGCTGGGAGGCCTTTGCAAGCATGCATTATCTCAGCAGAAGCCCAGGCGGCTGGAGGGCGTGGTATACTCTAACCACACAGCCGCAATACATGATGACCTTGGACAAGGTCTCCAAGTTCGATGGCTGGAAGCACAGGTTCTATATGATGTCAGCCCCAACCAGACGGGAAAATTATGAATTTCGTCTGTATAATAAGAAGCCCGACTTGTTAGGCAGGAAGTGCGCTCTTCCCCGGATCCCAGAGGAAGACTTTGACAAGATAATCGAGGCAGACTTTTTCGACCTCACAGACGCAACTCTGTCAACCGGGGAAACAATAAAAGTCCCTAAGAATTGGATTCCCAAGAGCGCCTGGTTCAGGGATGAATGTTTCCTAGCCGCCTGCGGGCTAGGGCACATGTTTAATAAACGTATGCGCCTGGGTTCACACCGTCTGTAGTATTTTTCTATCGGAATTGATTTATGATTCTGATCAATTTCTTTCTTTTTTGCAGAAGAAGCGCTAAACATGTTGCAGTCGGAGAAAACTCCCAAGCGGTCTTCTGCGACCATCCGCAAAGATCTTGCGGAGAAAGCTGCGGCCGAGCTCAGGGCCAAGGTATTGAGCGCCTGACCCTTTCTTAAGTTTATTTTATAAACTGTCTTGCCCGGATACTAACCTTTACTTGTGTATTTTCACAGGGGGGAGAAGTTGGGAAATCGTTTGAGAAGAATCTCAAACGGGCTAGAGAGGAGGCCCCAGCCGTTCTCAATAAAATAAAAAAGTCTGCCTCTGTGTCAACTCCTGGCGCCTCATCCGGGGCTAAGACGATGCGGGTAGCGGGGCGGCTCGAGAAGGTAGGCGGCAGCGTGTGCCTTGATCTTGTCAACCCCTTATCAGCAGCCGCGGGGTTCACCACGCCTGCAAGCGTTTCCCGCTTGGCCGGCTCTGAAGGTAAGAACCCTTTTGAATCCCCGCCTGAGCTGTGGTGGCCTTTACGGGTGAAATCCCACTCCCAACAGACATCATCCTCAGACGGTCGGCAACAGATAGGTGTTGCCTTAGTTTTGCACTCATCACGTGTTGATTGTGGTGCAGATCAATCTCCCCGCTGGCCAGACGTCCAGAAGCACGCCAAGGCCATGCTGGATGCCGTCCGGAAGAGGGATAAGGACAATATCCCTGGGATAGAGACGTTCAATTTTGAACGCATTCTATCCCTTCTGGCTGAGGTAAGAAACTTGTCAATTCAATGTTATTTTTCCCAAGTAGTTATCCCGCCTGTAATTCTTATACCGCCTGCTTTTGCAGGCCATGCTACGGGTGGACGGGCTCAAACGTCCTTATTCCCGCAAACGGGAAGAGGTAAAAAGGGCCAAGAAGTCCGCCATAGACGCTGATAATATTGCTTTACACTCGACTATCGTAAATGAACTTGAAACTAAAGCAATAATTATGACACAAGCGTCTAAAATCCAGCAGCTGGAGCTAGATCTGAAGGCGGCCGACCAGCGGGCAACGGATGCTGAGACGGCCAAGAAGGGGGCGGAGGAGGCCCAGAAGAAGGAAGACGAGAGCGCCAAGCAGGCTGATGAGGCACTCAAGAAGGCCCAGGCGGACCTTGGCAAACTGAAAGCCAAGGTTGAGAGGCTGGAGAAGGATGCTGCTCAAGCTCAGAAAAACTTTGCAACAACCCTGGAGGTGGAGCAAAACCGCCTTATTGCTGAGAGTGATGCTGACAACGACGCCCGTATGAAGATTGCTTGGGCTGCCTTGTACCCAGAAGCTGATTATAGCATCTGGGCAATGGCACACAGCTATGTCGAGTACGTGGTGTACTTGAGAGAGCAAGGTGAGCCAGAGCCTGCCTCCTTTGAAGCCTGGCTCAGCAACAGTGAGCCAACCGCGCCTGAGCTTCCTGGTCCCGGCGAAGCGCACCAAATTCCCTCAGATGATGAGGAGAAGGGGGAGAACCAGGAGGCTCCGTCCGCAAGCCAGAAGTGACCCCTCAGCGACAGTATGCCAGTTTGATTTTTTAATTTTTATTCAGCGGTTGTATGCCAAAACTTGCTTTTTCCGGCCTTTGTGCCGAGTATTTGTGTTTTTACCGGCTATGGAGCCAGGTTAATTAACAATTTCTTTCTCCCGGACGGGGTCCGGTTAACATTTGATCCATTACAACCGTTTGGTTGGATGGACTTTTATAAATTGCACCGACTATGTCGGTTTTGATCATTTAACATTTGAATTTTTGTTTTTTTGCAAATTTTAATTTTTGCTTAACTTATCGAAAGCATGCAGCGATTTCTTGCCTAACTTATCAAAAGCATGCGGCGATTTCTTGCCTAACTAATCAGTAGTCCGGCTGTCCTTGCCCCTGGACGGCTGTGTGATTGGTTTCAATTGGAGCTGGTTGATTGACTTGAAAACGTTTGATGCTGCAAAGAGCATGATATGTTTGTAAGTCAATCAATCACAGTAGTGATTGCCCCAAACCAAGTGCACAGCCGTACACCAACAGGCGTTTCAGTCACTACACAGACGGCTTATGCCCGTCTTGGTAGAGATTTCATAGCCATTGAACTCTTGCCCCAATTGGGGTGAGGTGCAATTTTAAAATAAATAACCTGTGAGAACTTCAGCCGGTTACCGACTGATACCTATGGGCATCCGGTATTTAGGAACTTATTCGTTCTTCGTAGGTTA